GAGCTCAGCCTCATTCCTCATTAGTCTGGCTTAACTACTGTCGACACACACCTACACACTGCAAGAGGGAACACAGACAGACAGACACACACACACACACACACACACACACACACACGGATTCATACACCATGATACAGTATATTTGCACACGCTCGACACATTCTGCAACCCTTTCAAACGGTTCACACACCACCTCCAACACAGGCACATAATCACATACACTGCATTTGTCATTGAAAATTTCCAGCTACTCACAATTCAGACGTTCATAATTCAAACACACACACACACACACACACCCACACACACACACACACACACACACACACACACACACACACACACACACACACACACACACACACACTTTCTGCTTTCATTACCATGTCAACGCCGTCAGCAGCTACTGTAGAGGATCTGGGATCTGTGTTGTGGCTTTATTATTATCTATTATTTATCATGTGTATATTGTGGATTAAAATGTTCAATAACGCAGATGATACGGTGATGTTTGTCTGTCTAGTCCTGCCTCCAACCAGATCTAATCCGAACTGTGAACATTTAAACATGCACTGATTCCACATACACACAACACTGAAGTCAAACTGAAATCTAAATTCACTTTTGTTGAGAAATCAGTCTCAATATCCTTCATGTTTGTTTTAAAGTTCCCATATAGTATAAAAAGTAGATGTTCATGCGTTCGTTTGATTATGATTGATTTGTTTGAATGATTGAACACAACACTCCGACTGTGCGTGCGACGTGTCTGTTGATGATGAAATAAAACGAACAAAAAGTAACGTCTAACTAGTTTCCACTTCCCGAGTGGACCACAAACCTAACAGCCCAGCGGCTCCTCCCCAAGCGTCCGTAAAGGAGCAGACGTCTTAAATCACTAATGGTACTTAACCAGCGCTGTATGGGGTTGTTAAAAAAGGGGAGGCATTAGCAGGCCATATAGGGTTATGACATGCTCCAGTCAGCAGTGCACCACAGAAGTTAATAACGCATCTCCAAGCGCCGCCGGCTATTAAATGCCAATCAGCTGCTGCCGTGGGACATGCCGCCCCCCCCCCCCCCCCCCCCCCCCCCCCCAGAGGCTCTAAAGCTTAGACAGGGTTTTCATGAATATGTTATAAAAATAAAAAATTAAATAAAAAGTCTGCATCATGATACTTTATATTCCTTCCAGAAAAAGTGAAGAGAATTAAAAAATAATAAAAATCTATTAAATTAATTCAAAATTCAAGATCAAAATAAGATCTTCTTGACTATTTAGCAACACAAAGAATCCACAGTAGAAGAAGAGACATGTTTAAATATTGGTCCCATTACATGATTGGAAGTAAACAGATCAAAGTTGGTTTGCAGTCCAGTTTTAACTATAAACGTCTGCTTTTGGTTTGAACACAGGGAAACTGAGCAGCACATCTTATTCTCCCTCATTGTTATTTATTTTTATATATTTTTCTTAGTAGTTTTTGGTTGATGAGGCTCTTACAGAGGGGGAGGGGGGATCTGCATGTTCTTCTGCTGGTGAAAACAGCCACAGGCTACTTAACGATCAACAGCAGCTCAACTTTTCTTTCCCAGAATGCACTGCTTAGATTGGTCCTGCTATTGGCCCCAACATGTAATCTACAGTGAGCAAAGGTACAGTAGTCGCATGACCGGACATGATTAATTCACAGCTCAATGAATAAATGGAAATGTGGCGAAATGAGGACGAAAAGGTTTACTAATCATCTGGCGAACCTTCGACTCGTCATTTATTATTTTGCAAGAACTTATCAACATTCAAGGGCATTTTTGCTCCGAGCCCCTTGAAGCTTCACATTCATCATGTTCAGCTCCCTCCCCCTCCGAACTGCATCATGCAGCCCCTTCATGCAGAGCTCAGGGGGCACTTCAGCAGCTCAGGTTGGTTTTGGAGAAGCTATGAACTTTAATTAAACCAGTGCTGCTGTGCTGTAATCAACAGCTGGTTAAAGGGGACTTATTATGTTCATTTCCAGCTCTGTAGCTTTACTCTGGGACTCCACTACAGCAGCTTCGCATGATCCACAGTTAACAAAACTTTCTCAAACTGCCTGTTCTACAGCCTCTGACTGAATCAGGTGATATTATCCCACATTTTGAAAGCAGACTGTTAAATTAAGTAGTAGCCAAGTAACAGAACATAACTGATTGGAAATGGCAACTTTTCAAATCCATCCGCACAGTATTAAACCCTTAACTGATCTTGGTAAATATCACACCCATTACCTGCTTACTGTGTGACAATACGGTGGATTTAGTCTTTAAATTACAATCAGTATATAACAATTTATCTATAAATGCCCCTGTTGATAGTTGCACATGTGGGAAATGTGCTGTGAAATACGTCTGCTGTCAGGAGCTACAAAAGCTAACGTTGCTAGTAAAATATTGCTACACCACCGTATAGTAAACCTGCATGGGTTATTTTCTGGAGTTATATATATATATATATATATATATATATATGGATGGATGACCATATAAGGAAACCCTTGACGAGCTGACATCATCTCCTCACGGAAACAGAAAGCACCTTTAGAAACCCTAACGTTCAGACTGACATCTGAGCTTTCGCCTCACAGGGTTTACTTTTACCTACATTTACCTGGTTAATTCAAACTTTGGCCACGTTTAATGTGAACATCCGACACTGTAACGTGATACTGTATATTGTATTTCACAGAAAATAAGGACAAGCGTGATGGTTCCCCTTTAAAGGCAACAAGGTTGAAAGGCAGCAGAAAAATGTCTCCAAACCCAACAACATAATAAACATACAAGTAGATCAACAGATGTTCAAGTGCTCAGAAAGAAACGCAATGACTCACACTGACACTTACAAACACTAAGTATATTTTTATAAGCTGTAAACTACACACATAGTGAAGGACTCACTTCCTGACTCTCACACACACACACACACACGGAGAAACAAACTCAAAACGAATCCGTCATCACCTGCGTGGCCATGCAGCTCGCCGGCTAACTATCCATCTGTTAATGTACTCATCAGTTCATAAATCAATCTGCCCTCCCTCCATCTTCCATCCATTTATTTTTATTTTTTGCGTCTTGGCCCAAAGTCTGTGCACCTACAAGTATCATCCGTCTGACTGTCAGAGCCACCGATCCATCCATTAATGAGCGTCTCCATTTATCCATCCATCCATGGGCGCTCTCTATTTGTTTTGTCGACAAGTAAGACAAATAAAACAAGAGATTTCATCTTGCTGAACCACAGTAGTTACTAAAAATGACTGTTTTTTTTGTTTTTTTTGCTTTAGGAGTGGTCCCATCTTCTGCTTTATTTTCCCGTCTGTGCATAGTCTATGTGTGTTTTTCACTTGGGAGCGTTGTGGTGAAATTGAACAGACTTAATGTGGCACTCTCTCACCAAAGCAACTCGCTTCTCTGGACAAATAAAAACAACAAAGTGAATTCAATTTTAAACAGATTTCATCTTTTCATTTCCTTTCACTGAACTAAGGAGCCGACGCTGAGCAGACAGACATATCTGATCGATGGGTTCAGTTTAAAAAAACACTTCTAAGGCAAGAGCGCGCAAAAAAAGGGAATATTTTAATATCATGAGTGTTTTAATATTCTGTTGGAGTTAAGATAACAAACCACGACCCTCTATATATCTGTCATCCAGCATCTGAGTCTCTGTTAAACGCCTCCTCAGGTTCAAAACTCTCCCCACTGAAATGTTGAAAAGTAAACAAAAAGGAATATTTAATGTTCCCCTGCGAACGCTCGGATGATAACTCGAAATATTCCCAAGTAATGTTAGAGGGAGAAACATCCAGAGAGCACGTCTGAAAGAAAATGTTCAATAGTCTGAATAAACAAGACGGGCGGGCCGACACCGCGCTGGCAGTTGAGCAAACATTTGGAAACTTAGTTTACTTTACCAGACACATAAAGAGACCACCACCTACTGTTTTCAGATCTTATTGTATTAACCCTCTGACGCCAACATTAACACTGTTTATAAAGTTATAAAGTCATTTTTTAAAGGTTTCACCAAGTGCTACAAAGAAGCATTCCTTTCTTTACAGATAAAAGACCGACACATTTGTTTGGATTGCTCTGGCTGTGGTTTAACATTTCCAACTCTATCTGTTCATGAGTTTTGCTGACTGGTCACTTCTGTCACGACAATAAACTAACTAACAGCCAAACATCTGAATCAGACACTCTTGATTGGATGTGGTAGCACCCGCTGGAACCAATAGGAAATGTCCGATTCAGTGAATCTTTTCTAATTTTTCATATCAATTCATCAACAGGAGTCATTTTATACTATTTGTCTTAACTTGCTTTAACCAGAAATGACAGATTTAAGAGCAACAGTAGTGTGTCGCTGCAGCTTCACTCAGCGAGGTGTTAATTTCCCAGAGAGCGGGTCGCCAAAACGTAATCAATATAGTGGGAATACCGTGTTCCCTCCCATCCGTCTTTTTCCACTTACTTCAATTTGTTCTCATTTAGAGAAGATCCATTCTACAGTGCTTCCCTCCTTTCCCTTCACTTAGTGTTAATTCCTCCGGTCTCTCTTCAGAGCACTTCTGAGCACTTGATCAGCGGAGCTCACAAGAATATCTTGGCACTTTTGTGACGCAGGAATACAAGCGTCTTCTCAAATTAAACGTTGAAAACATAAAAAGCATCTCCACAACACCTGAAATGTCTTAACGTGACCTAAAATAACCGAGTTCAGCACCGAACTCCATGATGCTTTCTCCAACTGAGATATTTAAACTACGTTTTCATTTAACTTACAACCAGACACAAGCATATGATTAATATAACGTACAGGTTTTATGCATTAGACGCAGCACTTGTATTAACACTCTAATGTGAAGCAGTGATTTAATGCCACAGTGACTGTTGTTTTGATGTAAGCTGCTGTTCTCCACTCCTTCGAATCTAAACTGAAAAGGTGTACTCACGTTGGCCCCAGCGGCCCGTGCGGGGGTTCAGGTAGTTTGGGTAGAGCCCGTTGGGTCGGTCCATTTTGGCCAGCAGCTTCCGGATGTGCATCACCTGTGATCATCACCAGACACAAGAGGGTTCAATGTAAGTAGAAAAACACGCTGCTCTTGGCAGGAGGTGAAATTATAACTAATCTGTAACAACAGACATGTTTCTGCCATAGTTTTAATTTGTAAAGTGTCATGCTTGATTGATTTCATTATTTATTTAACTGTGTTTTGATCTGTTAATATACAGCATCACTTATCTTCTTCTCTTATTAGATAAAATAATACTTCAGTATCACTGTAGGTTCAATGTAAGTAGACAACATCACAGAAGATGATATATCATATAGTAAAAAAACAACACATGGCTTTCATACACATACACGTACACACCTACAAACAATGGCGACATACTGCACCACCCTCACACACAGACATCTGCCTGACATGTTAGTGTAGAGAAGCTTAATGGACGCAGGCAGGAATGAGCTCTGGGTGGAGAATGTGAGCTGAATCAGGAACCATTCTCTGGGCCTGTCTGATAATGGACTGCTCATAATTTGTTTAGAGGGACGGATGTTTTTTAACCGGTCTGTGTTCAAAGTGCAATTTAAGTAACTGTCACCAACAGAAATGAATCCTGGCATGAAGCTTTACCTGTCAGTGATTTTTTTATTGTGGATTTGACTGAAATACAGGTACAGTGATATAACAGTGATATAACTAAGCAGAGAAAACACACACACACACGTATACTTACCTTCTGGTAGTAGGCGGGGTTTCCTGTCAGGTAGGTGAGGTGAACAAACTCCATATGAAGGGTCCCGAACTCCGCCAGGATGCTGCTGCCTGCTGACGCCCAACCCCAGTTACGACCAACGCCGCTGGAGAGGTGGAGGAGCGCGGGGACNGTTATTGTGTATTTGACTGAAATACAGGTACAGTGATATAACTAAGCAGAGAAAACACACACACACACACGTATACTTACCTTCTGGTAGTAGGCGGGGTTTCCTGTCAGGTAGGTGAGGTGAACAAACTCCATATGAAGGGTCCCGAACTCCGCCAGGATGCTGCTGCCTGCTGACGCCCAACCCCAGTTACGACCAACGCCGCTGGAGAGGTGGAGGAGCGCGGGGACGTGAGGAGATGGTGAAGACAGACGATGTAGAGGGACAGAAAAGAGAGTTGGACAAAGAAACACACAAGGGTTAAAAACCTCTACAACCAGCGGAAAAGGAATAATAAAGATTTTAACTGAGCCGCAGAAGAAAATGACCATTAAGTATCTGCCTTTGACTCGTAATGACTCAACACACAGTTTGTCCGGTGCTGAGATTTGTGGCTTTCAAGACCCTGTTTCTAAAAAGCTTCATTAACTGGAACTTCAGGCAAAGAATAAATTGAATGACTCAGTTTGAATAATGATTTTTGACTAACAATTCACTTGGTCATAATGATTTTGAATGAATATAACAAAGTTAATATAAAGGCAAATTACCAGATTCGAGCCACTGGCATCAAAAAATAGAGACTAATGTGAAATTAGGGGAAAAGATCAAAAGACAATTATGACGTTATGTCATCTTTGACGTGATTTCCTGGTAATTAATGTACAGAAAACTTAACAATTCTAATAATGTTTGAATGAGAATATACACGTCATAGTTGATCGATAGCAGCTGAAATATGCTTTAAAGTGCAAAAGTAATTCTCTCCAAATGTCAGAGTTTCCTCCATCATCATACTAACAACGAACCGGAAAATATATAATATATTTTCAGTCTATTGAAACACGGCAGAGTTGGAGTCTGATTGATTGGAGCTGGTGCAACAGGTTCACTACCTGTACAGGAGTTTGTCTCGTTCGCAGCGGGGTTAAATTAAATTTACATACGTGACACAGGAGGCATCTGGAGCTGCTTCAATTTTACATGAGTGCATGTAACATTAATGGGTTGCAACTTGTGTGTGTGTGTGTGTGTGTGTATAGAGAGAGAGTTTGTGTGAGAGGCACCTTGTTTGTCCAATCAAGCGGAAAAAAGACAGAGGTGTGTCTGCGTTTTCTGTTTAGATTAAATTCCTGTGTCTACAATTATTCCTGCGGGGCGTCTGAGTGAGTGCGAACACGTGTCGAAGCGTTTTCTTCGCTGTGTGTTTGTGTGGCGGGAGATTAAGGCAAATCACAAAGTGTCCGCTCTCTTAATGAATCTGAATTACTCTGAGAAAAGGAGGACTTTCGCTTGTACTACACACATCCAACAACCTGCCGGTACGTGTCTCACTCTCCTCACAGGTACAATGAAATGAAAACTAGAACTAGCGCCTCATGGTTTGCCACAGTCACGCCACAGTTTACATCCACGTCTGTCCAGACTCATATAAGTGGTAAAGTATTTAAGTGTATTTTGTCATTATTAGCATGAATATTCTTGAGTTATTTAAAGAGACTTCTTTAAATAACTCGGGGGG